AAAAACGTGACAGTACATTCGATCCCGGGATAATTCCGCGTTGAGAAGATGAGAAATTGGACGCGTCTGAAGATCACCAGCTCTTGACCTGGACAGGATTACATCATACAATCGTTCATCACAAAAAATTCTCATTAATTTCTAATCAATCGTCACCCATTCCATTTTTTATACTCTAATAGATCTGCACGCACGTACAGTGCAAATGGTGAATCATTAGAAAATTACGTTGGAAAAAAATTTGAAGTATTTTATAACGTCAAAGTGACACGACATTTTTAGATAATTCTTTATTAACGAATTTATTTTGTTGTGAAAATTTGGCACCGAAAATTAAAAAAAGGTTGATTCATCAGTTTTTGAATTCTATATTCTATATTATTTTATATTCTTAATTATTTTCTTGTATAGACTTTGAACATATAACTATAATTAATTATATAACTATAAAAAATAATTAGGACAGTGAAAGCAAGACACTATATTTCTGCGTAAAGAAAATGTGTTCAAATAAACTAGAGTTTAAGTAGAATATGGTTAGAAAGAAAATGGCGGATTGACCTGTTGCGTTGAAATAACGCTGTGAACTACAAAAATGTTATGTAATGAAAAATTATTAGAAATTCTCCCTCAATCAAAGAATTATTCAATTTAAACCTGAATTCCTGGAAGAGATATGTAGAGAGCGACAATGAAACATAGGAGTGAATTAGAATGAAAAGAGATAGAAATAATAATTTAATCGATACTCGCATAATTACACAATTACGAAGCGATCGATTTCATTCCATTCATTTAAACTCCATTCAATATTGAAAATGGCAATTTATTTATGCATAGATTGTACTAAATGCTGACGATTTCTTAAAACAAAATTCCACCTCCTCAAACCTATAATTCATTCTCACGCTTTTCGTTGTATGACAAATACCTAAATTGAACCGAGACGACTGCTTTCATCCTATTAGCATAAAAGCCTTAACCACCTAAAATTGAATAAAACAATTCCATTACAATCTCTTTAATTAATTTAACTCATCGCACTAATCCACCCGGCCGCCCTCGCTACCATTAATTATAAGAACACGAAAAAATTCACACCGTTTTTACCATCTGGCCCCCTGTAGATATCCGTAATAATTCGATACCAATTACAGATTACATCCGATAAAAATCATTTACCATCCCTGGAGGTACATACACAGGCGTCCGTGTCGTCACGCCCACGTGATTCTCACACGGTTGTGTTCCCCAACAGTGGACATGGATGTTCTGACATAGGTTACGTGCATGTACAGATATCGTGTTGGGAGGAAAGGGAGGACTATTGTGTATAGATGGGATGGGATACGTGACTGGGAGGGAGTAATAGCTAAAGGCCAGAGGGTCGATCAGACAAGGGAAGGGAGCTAAGATCATTCAAGGCGGAACGGACAGCTTCAGGTAAATCAATCCATTCTGTCACGTGCCCTCGATTTTGACCAGATTGACTCACCTCATGACTCAAAGACCCCTTTACACACTGAGGAAAATATCACGCGAAGGTTCCGCAATTCACAAGTCAGAGTAAAAGTCCAATATGACAATTACAGAGCACTCCATAATCAGTATGTACTTATGCGCAGTTGATGCTAATACGGAATTGCTCTTTCAGTATATACAGTGCAATTATTTGTGCTAATAAATTAGCAAAACGCTCATTTATCGATACAACGGCTATCGCTATTATTTCCGGCTGTCGCGGATCGCGTATTTGTACAAATAAATGAATAGACGTTTCTGGATGCTGATAACCACGCGCCTGCCGCTCTCGAGGCCACGGGCTATCTCCGGCAAAAAACCCGCAAAAAACAATTCCAGGAAAAGCCTTACATAGTTCCGTCTCTCTTAATGAATATTAAAACCATCTTCAGCAATTTTTATGCTTCCATTCGAAAGAGGATTGAACTATCGTGAGTTCTTTGCCACGTGCTATAGCGCCAGTAGAAGATTAGGTGACTACAGAGCTATCATCACAGATTACTCGGCGAAATGGCAATTCCCAAAAAACGGACATCTTAGGAACCAAAATACGTGACGATCTTAGATAGCTCCTCACAGTGTACATAGATGCCCCAATTCGTCCCAAAAAAACCGGCAGAATTCAAGAATTCAGAATCAGTTCTAGTCTAGCATCAGAAGTCGATCAAGTCCTCAGTAATCGACATTCAAAGTATCGCCAAGTGCGGTCCGCTTAACAAGAGCTCTTTATCCTCGGAAGTTTTGCTAAAGTCATCGGTAATTGGCATTGAGTTATTACATACAATTGCGGTTCGCTGAAGTAACGCGGAGTGGCTTACATCATTTAATATGTGGGCGCTGGTCGAATTCCTCTGAGAGCCACGCCCAAACAATTGGGTCTTCAACACCTTAAATCAACCAGCTAATTGACCCGACGATCAGCCAATTCTCTCAACTCAGGTAGCGGTAATAATTGCTAATACACGGAGAGAAATATTTAGTAAAAATTACGGAACTTTCAGTTCACTTACCTATTACGGAGTTTATTTGAAAAATTTAAGTGACGGTATCGTTATTTTTCACGGATAATTCAGATAAAAATTACGGAACACCGCGGAAAATTTCCGTGACATTAGATAAAAATTACGTGACAGTTCCGTAAAATTTCCGACAATCATATTTCGCTCCAGAATTACGGAAAATACACGTAATTTTTATTGAATATTCCTCTCAGTGTATGCACCTCCCACACTGACGATTTGTTGTAATGTCGAGTGACTTACATAATATAATACGTCGGCATTCGTCGAATTCCTCTGCGAGTCAACAACTGAAGGACTCTGCGGGTCCTCAAATGAAGCAAAACTTATTGGACCGACGACCTGCCAATTCGCTCAGCCAAATGACGAGTCGCCGTCAAGGCCGGTGAAGGTATACCTCTTCACCACTCCTAAAAAGACCGGATCATATCACTATAAACCCACCACTGTAAGGTGAATATTTTGTTATTTTTCTTTTTTACACCATTTAATTTCAATTTATACGCTAATTTTGAATGGTTTGCCTTGTAGAGCTTTTGTATTTTTTACCGAATCCCAAAAAAATTGTGAAATTTTACATTTTCCTGGAAACTCAATGGAGTTTGATAACATATATTAATTAATATAAATTAAATCTGAAATGGGAATGAATTGGGAAATTCCAGTTTTCGTGGGCTGTAGAATTCTGAAATTTTCCAAAATTTTCCGAGAATTCTGAAATTGTGTAGTTCCCCTACAAACTATTCACTGTCAGTATCCAAAAGACCGTAAGTCCACTGTCTATAAAATTTCATATTTTTTTAGCAAGGCTTTCCTCTAAATATTCCCCTAAAATTCTCATTTTGACTGCGTCTCCAGGAATTTCCTCGAATGTTCCCCAAAGATTTCCAGGCTTTTAAAAAAATTTAGTTCTTTCATCAATTGAAGAAATAATTACCAGCATTTGTCGACTCCTCATGAATTATTTACCCAAGTCCGAGTAAATAAACATGGAAAAATCTGCAGAATTCAGTGGAAAAGAAACAAAGAGAGAGCGTTAAGCTAATAAAACCGTCTCCTCGAAAATTAGTTTTGTCCGAGCGTTATACCCGGAGCTTTTAATTGTCCCCATTAAAACTCGGGAGGGAAGCTGTGCGAGAAAAAAAATGTGCAGTCCACGGGTACAGAATGAGAAATGGAGATAGTGAACGTCGTCCTTATTCGAGAGATACCGAGTTTATGATCCTGGCTTGAACCTATTTAAAAAGCTCTGGTTTATTACACTTTTTATACATTTTTTAATTATCATTATCATATTTTCCCTCATTTCGATAAAGAGTCACACGTACGTAAAGATTATCATTCCTCAGGAATCTCATATGCGGAAATGGTTTGGACGTTTTATCGGCAAAATTTTTCATTCTTTCTTCCGATCCTCAATGGCCTTTGACGACGGTCACGCCAACTTTACATATACTTGCCCTCGACATTACATCGGGTTAAACGATATACGTATGAACAGATTCGTCTCGATACCTGTGAACAGATGGCGGCTTTCGTTGGTAGTTGGTTGACATCACTCGGGTCAAACTGGCGATAAATCATGGGGATCATATTACGTTCTATAGAGAATCATAGGCACTTTTAATTCCCTCCCTAAGGCTGTGCAATTAAGAATTTTCTGGAATTTGACAACTCTGGCGAGGAATTTTCTACTAAAATTTACTTTGAGTAAAAATTACACGATGTTAGATGAATATTATACAAAAAAATTGTAATTTCACCTCAGCTTTGAGTAATTATTGTTTCGCTTTTATGGTAGAAATTTCTGAATATTATCTTTTCTGCATTGCATATTAATTCTGTACTGCCAATTTTTAATGTTTTTAAATTGTATCCATCCCGACAGGTTCTCACGTGTCCCTTCTAACATTTTTTGTGGCGAGGAGCATTTTTCTGGGTGCCATTTCGGTGTCGCGGATCGCGTATTTCATGACGAATAAATAGGCCACCGATTTCTCTGGAGGAAATAATAAATAGAGGGATCCCTCCGGATGCTGACTGCCGGGCGTCGTAAGGAAGGACGAGATATTGTTCTAGGAAAGTCTCCATAATGCTGTCTTCGCTGGTGCTAAGTATGTGCCGACAAAATTGACCCCCACTTCCCATTCTAAAAGAGGCACGATTGACACCAAAGAGGATTGACTAAAGGAGAGGCTCAGTTCTGGGGGTTGGAATGACCCCAGCGGCATCGTAGTACTGCACCCCAAGAGAAAGAGGGGGCCGCACCCAATGGTGGGGTGTCTGCCCGTCAGCCGACTCGGTAACTGCCTCAGTATAGTGAATATTGTCAGAGTAACCTCGGCCGTAACCCCCACTCTCCGAAGTCCCCACTTGTGGCCGTGTTCCCCACCAGTCGCGCCGAACAAAACCGAAGCTACTTCTTTGGTATACTGAATATTATACTGAATATTACCAAAGGAGTAACTTCGGTTTTGTTCGGTTCGACTGGTGGGGAACACGGCCACAAGTGGGGATTTCGGAGAGTGGGGGTTACGGCCGAGGTTACTCCTCTGACAATATTCACTATAATATTCAGTATAGCAGTCCCGCTCTCAGAGGGACCAATGGACTGGGTAAATTTTATTTTCTGAAAATTTAAAATTTTTCAATTTCAGTGAATACCTCCTCGATTTTCATGTTCCCCTGATACTTTCCGAAAAATTTAAAATTTCAGTGAATACGTCCTCGATTTTCATGCTCCCCTGATACTTTTATAAAAATTTCGAATTTTCAAATTTCAGTGAATACCTCTTCGATTTTCATGCTCTCGTGATACTTTTTCAAAAATTTCGAATTTTCAAATTTCAGTGAATACGTCCTCGATTTTCATGCTCCCCTAATACTTTTTGGAAAATTGCGAATTTTCAAATTTCAGTGAATACGTCCTCGATTTTCATGCTCCCCTAATACTTTTTTGAAAATTTCGAATTTTTCAATTTCAGTGAATACCCCCTCGATTTTCATGCTCCTCTGATACTTTTCGAAAAATTTCGAAATTTCAAATTTCAGTGAATACCTCCTCGATTTTCATGCTCCCCTGATACTTTTTTGAAAATTTTAAATTTTTCAATTTCAGTGAATGCCTCCTCGATTTTCATGCTCCCCTGATACTTTTTTGAAAATTTTAAATTTTTCAATTTCAGTGAATGCCTCCTCGATTTCCATGTTCCTCTGATACTTTTTCAAAAATTTCGAATTTTCACATTTCAGTGAATACTTCCTCAATTGTCATGCTCTCCTGATACTTTTTCAAAAATTTCGATTTAGAAAATTTCAGTGAATACCGCCTCGATTTTCATGCTCCCCTGATACTTTTTTGAAAAATTCTAACTTTTCAATTTCAGTGAATACCTCCTCGATTTTCATGCGCCCCTGATACTTTTTCAAAAATTTCGAATTTTCAAATTTCAGTGAATACCTCCTCCATTTTTATGCTCCTCTGATACTTTTTTGAAAATTTTTCATTTCTCAATTTCAAGCCTTAGGTCTAGTCCATAACAGCCACAGCCATCGATGATCATCGTGTCAATCTTGGTTTTAACCCCTTTAGTCTCAGTCTCACTCTCAGTTTTCACTAATATTCACCAAGAGCCATTGCTAATCTCTAGATATCTCCAAGTCAGTATCGACATGAAGTTTCTCCAACGTATTTCTAGGCAACAGGGTGCAACCGACCTACTTCCTGGGTGAAATTTCCAAATTTGGGCAATATTAAGCTCAGTTAGCAACAAAACAGCCAAACTCCGCCTCATAACCCGTCAACGTACGCCCAAATTATCTGAGAAGATACGCCCAACCGGTCGAGACCTCTACGCCTCGGCTCAGCCTACTTATTATAGACCAACCACCTGCCGAATTCTCTCAACAATCATCACCGGCACTGCCTCGCCAAGAACTACACACTGAGTGATTCTCGCGTACCATTTAAAATCACCACTGTAAGTCGAACATTTGCATTTTTTTCCTCTTTATACTTGTTTTTATGCCATCGGTGCCCGTAATCGCGCGATTCTAACCTCGCTTCGCTCGGTTAAATCGCGGATTCCGGGCGCGATGACATAAAATTTTGTATGAAACGCGTGCGTAATATATTTTTCGACTCGTGGGATTGTAAAACTCGCCTTCGGCTCGTGTTACAAACCCCCCACGAGTCAAAAAATATATTACGCACGTGTTGCATAATATACTATTTTCTTTTTTCGAATTCCTGGTAAAATCTGAAACCCTTAATTGTGGCCCGAAAAATCAGTTTAATAAATCAAAAAATAATCTCTGAAATCCCACATGACATGACGTTTTCAAATTCTATATTCGTTCCACAATTTATAAAAACAATGAGTGAATCATTGCATTGTGGGGGTCGACTTTCGTCTCCATTATTCTGTGATTCTGCCTCTAGGACCGTAGCATCGGTGTCCAAATCTTCAGGTATAGGAGTGGGGCGGTCCTTCCTTATTTCTGTTAGTTTTCATTGTCGGCTTAATGCCCCTCCCATTGTCAAGGGGGCTGAGGTAGCTCAGATTGCTACGCCCTCTATTCTTATAATGATGTGATTTTACACGGTTTCGATGGGTCACACATCTTCCGTTCGATAATGATTCGATATCGCCCCACTAGTTATCATTATTATTTTAATTTAGACAAAGTCGTTTAGCTGCGGTAACCGTATCAATTTTTCCGCATTCACGTGAAGAAGTAAAAACCTATAACAAGAGCCGACGCCGAAAATAAATTCATTTAAATATTCAATGAATTGCGAAATCGAGACAGTAATTAACAAAATTGTCACAATGTTTAATTTTAATAACTTTCATTTCTAGCCCTCAGATTTCAATGAATAAATGTTTAAAACTTCCGTCTATATTCACAGTAGATGAAATGATTTATTTAAATATAATATTACTTCAAATGAAATTGTATAAACGTAGATAATTTTTCCTCTAGTATATATCCGATATGATCTGATATTAATCCCCGAGAACTCGTCCTCAGTTGGATTCACACACAAACACACACGGTCTAATTAAAAAGCATTAGCATATTATCTCGTACACACTAATTACAGAGTAACACGCGCCACGAGTCACACACACTCATTACTGGGAGTCCAGTCGTTTCTATATAATACAGAATCCATTCACCCGCCGAAATACTCTCGTGGCTCCGTCGATGTGGGAAATATGCGATTAAGCATCGCTCAAAATTAATTAATACCGTCGTACTGTTTCAAATGGGGCTTTTCCCAGCCACATACACCTGGGATAAAAGTGAATTATATCTTTGGTAAATTGACGTTTTGTGGGAGGATCCGGGCTTTTGAGCTATCCATCACATTCAACCATGATTCGATGACCCATTGATTGTCCATCCACACGGAAAACCAACACTTTATTATTATTAAATGTTGGGTGAATAAGTGACGTGGGGATCGACAGTCATACAAAAGATTTTATCGGATTTTCTGTGAATATTTTTCAATTGATTAGTGTTCATTGATAGATGAAAAACCATTTTACTTTTTTAATCAAATGATGAAAGAAAAATACAACGCAGTTAATTTCGCGATTTTATTATAAATAATCGGTGGCGTATTGCTTATGATTTCTTATGATTCGATCATGTGATAATAAATCAGCAATATATTTCCCGATGGTTATGCATTTCATGTAATATTAAAAAAGGAATTTTAAAAGGAAATAAAGTGAGAAGGAAATACTTTCTTTACTCAGTAGAATCCTATCTTTTTCGGATTATTAGAATGAATATTGTTCGAGTTATTCAAGTTTATTTGTGAATTACTCTTAGTCTTACCAATATTGAGGCAACCTTGGGAAAATATTGAACCAATCGCACCCAGCATACCGACATCAATACTGTTGCAAATTATCAAAAAACTAATAACATAATTGTCCCCATCTTGAAACTCGATCATGACGAACGATTATTGGAATGCTTCCATGCGGAATCATAAGTAATTCTCATTGATAACAGAATTTCGGATCAATATACAGAGACAGAATTCGCTTACAATAAACGAGATATAGTAAACAAATAACCTCCCAAAAATATTTTATGATTCTAAGAAACTCTTATGAAAAACTTTATGTTGCATACACAGGGAAAAATAAGATATAAATCGGTGTGCGGCCAGTTGGAATCCTTTTCCCAATAAACGGATTGATATTCGAAATTCTGAAACGAATAAAGTAGTTCTCCTAAATTTTTTCACTGGAATAAATCATAAACCCCTTATGTATAATGTAATTTGAAATAAAATACTCAACCAGCCGTAAAGCGGCTCCAATTATGCAATAATTCCCGAAATATCCGCCTCAAACACTCAGCAGTCCCTAATTAATTAATAAACTACATATACGATAACTTGGGAATTAATATTGCTGGAAGTACTCGACCCTATGATCATCCCCTTGAGTAATAATCCTCGCTGGACCAATTCGCCGTTCTCCTCGGAAACCGTACGATCATTCCGTAAACAGATGAAATTCTTGATCAAGGATTTTCTCCGGAAATAGGTAATAGAGAAAATTGGAGGAGCCCGAAAACCGAAGCATTTTCCTCTGCATACTCATGTCAACGGTATCATCTTGGCATTTAGACCGAAGTATCAGATGTTCGACGAAATGAAATCGAAAGGAATGTAACGATGTCGTGACGTTGTCTGTGGACCATTCGATACAAAGGAGATTGTGCTGAGACAAATTTAAGGATACCAACCTCACTTTCTTCACCAAATTCAGCCCCTCTCGTATTTTCTCCGGTTCTGTTGTCTCTTCGCCTTCATATCACCCCTCAATACAGCGAGTCCCTTTCATTCCGCTTTCTCCACACTGTTTTCCTTTCTCAGTTGCTCCTATTGCCCAAGAACTATCAGTCACACCCTGCGACTTTTATCCCTTGCAATCATCCGAGAGAGAGAGACCGAGTTACGATGTACATCCACATACTCCTTTTTCTCGGTGATAGCAGAGGTGTGACTTGATGCCAGCGTGCTTCATAGCAATTCTCTGTTTATTGCGTTGGATAAATGACACTCGTCTTTGCCCATTGGGACTGATTGAAAATGAATTTCTTTGTTTCAGCGGAAAGGAATTCAATAGAAACTTCAAAATATTGACTTTCTCGGTTTCGTCATGGTGAAATGGATGTCGTGAGTACGGGAAAGTAGCGCAATAAAATGGAAATACCGCAAATAGATGTGAGATTTCCAGGAAATAGTTACAACTTGAGAAATGAAAATTATGTATGTTAAATTACCAGTTAAAGTATAAACTACGAAATTTAAGTACTTGAGATTTGTTAGTGCTTTAAAATTAGGGAGGAATATACAGGCATTAATTTGAAAATATTTCAGGCTAGCAAGGGAAAGTCTGATAAAAATCGTGCAATGTTAGAAAAAATAAAATAATAATAATAATAATGGTTTGGTCCAAATTTTCGTATGACCATTATGTTATTATGGATTGAAACATGAATTAAAATTTGTAAATGTTAATTTTTTTAAATTCAACTGTTACAGATCTGTCCTTTTTCTACTTGTGTTACGATACATATTTATATCCTGCACGATTTTCATTTCGCTAGTTCAATAAATTATTATCTGAGATTCACTTAATTTTTTTCGTTCCGGATTATTTTTCTAAAATGTGTTACTTATTACAAATTTATTTGGGATTAATCTATTTGGGATGAATTTCCCGGGATAAAATTACCTAGATCTGATTTTTATTATTAATAATATTAATATAAAAGAGAGAATAGTTTTCCATGGGATATAAGAATTCATTGCATTTTTTGAAAACATTTATTTTCAGATTTATTGCGTTATTTTTTAGCATACGAATAGAGAAGAGAAATGGTCATCGATTATAACCTGTCGCATTAGAATTTCAATGGCGCTCGTTTGGTTGACCGGAAGTGGGAGAGAAAGAAATATATTCAGTCCACCGAGAGAACCGACAAACTCATCCCTTTGGCATTCCCTTATCCTTATGCCTTATCGGGGATCATAGAGGGGTTGAGAATAAAAAATTGAGCGATATCCTCTCCCCGTGGGTCACCAAGCCGGACACATAGCCAGTTTGGAGTGAATATCACCGAGTTTTTTAAGGCTTTGTGTCTATCCATCGACGTAGGAAAATGAAACCGGTAATGCTCCGGCATTGATGGATTCACCGGCTATTCTATGAATGGGGGGATTATACATGGCATAAATACACTATTTCGTCACAATTGCGTGGAAGGCGGGAGGGGAACCTCGCTATTTTCCATGGCGAATCCACAACCGATAGGTTTCTATCACCTAAACTTGAATAATTGCCTCATTTTTCTCCATTTTATATCGACTAGATCCCGTCATGGAGAATTAATCCGTTAGCGCCCAAAATTGTCCATGACATAATTACATATTTAATAATTCTGTTACAATTTAATGAGAAGGAGAATAATAATATAATTTCTTTTTAGTATCAAATATAAAGTTTGATTTCATAAAGAAAGAAGAAAGAAAAAAGTCTAAAAATTTATATAAAAAATAATTTAAAATTTAATAAATTATATTAAATTTATATATTATATTATATAAATTTAGTATAATATAAAATGAAAATAAAAATATTAAATATTATTATATAAAAAAAAATTAATATATATAAAATTAATATAATTTATATATATATATATATATTTTTAGGAAAACCCTCGTCACGGTGTTCCACCAGGCCAGTATACAAGGAAATCTAACCTAATAATTTCAAAAGAAATATATATATATTAGACTAAAATACATAATATATATATTAGATTAAAATACATAATATATATAATAGATTAAAATACACATCAGACATTATATGTATATATATATATATATATCATATTATATAGATATATTTTGATATGCATAGCGCCAAAAAAGCTGACAAAAAACGTTACATGCTTTTTTTTAAAAGGGATATTAGTACTATGATAGTTATGGATATACTCGTATCAAGAGATAATCCAATTGATCTCTTACCATCGTATTGAGCTCATGAAAAACATACAAAGTAAATTTTTCTTCTGAAATTTGTTATTGCTATTGATTTTCTATGTATCGAATAATTCATTACGAGATACATAGATGGTGAAACTTTCGATATCAAGAGCTTCAATCGATTAATTTTAGTTTTAATTCTATTTTTATCGGAGTCAAAATAAATGAGAAACCCCTTATTTTTTTCATAAGGGAATTCGATATAGAAAATTTTTCTCTTTAAATGCAGGATCTTGAAATCTATATTTAGAAATTCAATTAATTTCTCATCAATAAAATATAAAAAAGATCACGAAACAGATTGCGGAATCAATTCAAGAGTTTCAAACAAAAAATTTCCTTCCCCTAGAATAAGTGGAACAGAAGTCTGTTCTTTTCCCCTCACCATCAATATTTTGGTAATTTGTAGGAAAATCATGAATAAAAAATGTAGATTAATCGAACAATGGGTCAATAATGAGATCATCTATTCAAAAAATATTACCCCAGCCGCACAAACAGAAAAAAAATCTACCAAAAAAACGGAATACACTCTAGACCTAATTTAATGTTGCCCATTGTCAAGTGTTTTTTTTTATTATTTGGGGGGTAGGTGATCTCTTGAAGGGTGCTTTTTTCTCGAATAAAAAAAAAACTCAGGACACGGAATTATCCCCTCTATTATCACGGGTGTTCGTTTTTTTTTTCACGTGTATAGTTTTTTTTTCAGGGAATACCCCTCACCCTTCACTCTTGTGACCTCATTTCCATATATTTCTGATGTTCATAGGGGTTGAGGGGTGCGTGCATCCGTGGTATCGATAGACATCGGAATTTCACTTCCGGTTGGCAGGCAAATTGCCACCTGGTGAGATGACCAACGATGCGTTACCCAGTACAAAGACTCATATGAGAATCTGCCCTTTTTACTTTATTTCATTGAATTTATGGTGGATAACACGTGCTGAGGCTATTCTGCGGGATTTTCAGGCACTAATTGACGAGCCGCTGCTTCCGGTTCGTAACATGCTGTCTTTGTTACCCTCAGACTAATTTTAATCGCGTGAAAAAGGAATTATTCGAATCAAATAAATGGTGTAATTGAATTTAGATGGGTGGGAATTGGCGGAAGCGGAAGGGCCGTGGGCTACTCGCAATTTTTTAATTCTGCTATGATATCGAAAAAATGTCAGTGATATCAACTTGTTTTTAAATATTCCATAAAAACTATTGCATTCCAAATTTTCGAAAGGAATAGGATAACTTTCTGAGATGAAATAAATGATTTTGGATTAAGTTCATTCGTATTTTTTGGGAACAGGGAGAATATTTCTTTTGATTAAGCCCTGATCTATTTATATTGGAAGCTGTCATGTAAAGATTGTCCTAAGAGAACAAATTATTTTTGCCACCTCAAATATATTATCCATGATTTGCAGAGAATGTAGTATTTCCATTTGCTGAAAACACTCGAATACTAGCCGGAAGTGGCTTTCCGCTTAAAATAAATGTCGACTAAATGTTGAATTGGATTTAAATAGCAAAGTGAAATGCCACGCGGATATCTAATAGAGTTTTATTTTGGCAAAAAAATTTTAATCGAATATTAAAAGGATTTTATATTATTATAACGTGGAAAGTGAGGTCGTGATGCGTCAACGTTTTATGGGGGTTGAATTTCCGTAAACTGAGGAAAAGTCGGGTCGCCCGTGCCAAATGCGATATCTCTCACCAGGGATTTATGTTAGTCGTTATACGGCCGATGTCTCTCTACCCACAGGAGCCCGAACAACCGTAAACATGAGATAATTAAATTATGGAAATAAAACGAAAGAAGAGGGTTGGAGAGAAAAAGTTGAGGAGAAGAAAAACGCAAGTGGCAAAACAACAGTGTTCCCTTCGTTGGAGATAGAGGCGTCGGGAAAAATCGTAAAACCAATCCGACTGACAAATCTGTATAATGTCCCTGACCCTTATCGCATTCGAAACTACCGTAGACACATGCTCGTAAATGTCCGAGTTACCCTCAGTACGGAGACAAAACTAAAAACAAATAGAATTTTTCAGACAACAGGGAGCAATAAAAATATATTTTCCAGTGGTAGTTCGATAAGTACGAAGAGCTACTCACTCTCTTATTGGGTGGCACACTCTAGAAAAAATACATTTGACATTTAAAGTAGAACTATTTGAAATTAAGAACAATTCTTCATTGCCCAATCATGTAAGGTCTTGACTATTGTAATAATTTTCGATTTTCAAGTCGATGTATTGCTTAGCAGATGGTAAAAAGTTTGGAAATTCAAGCAATAGTTGACCTGAATGTTAAATCTATTGAAAATATATTGAAGATTTACATTTCATATTAAATTTTCACAATGAGCATGAAAATTCATGCCTTCATTGACAAATCAATTGTCATTTAACATAAATAAAATTTTTAAAACAATTTTCTTCAATTCTTTTAAAGGTTTTACTTGTAATTGAATTTGATTTTGTGAGTGGAATTCGGTGGAATGATTTCAATGACTTCAATGAATTAACATGCATTCTCATGACTCCGAGACTTGTCCTCTGGATAAATATTTAATCCCCTGATATCGTAATTTTTAGAGAGAAATATCAAATCAACAAACTCGAGCGAGGACATTTCGGCGAAATGAGCAATGAAACTCAACCACCCCCTTTCCACCCTCAATTCGGTGATTGTGTTTCGCATAATGGCCATTTCAACGCGAATGACCCCAACGAGCTATATCGAATTCGCAGACGGTGTCCACGAGGGCATTATCACGACGTCAGCTAGAAGTGTATTCCAGTGTACTCCTAAACTAATCTCAACCAGTTTGCCCAGGCAAAATGCGCGACTATAATCGTTGACCGGTGTCGTCGGTGTTAATCAAGTTGGGAAAATGCGTGGTGGTGAAGCCCCTCCATGCAGTTGTGCACTGTAATTTTCCGGAGACAATGGTTGAGGATAAAATTTGACAGTTTAGGGGGGTGCTATTCCGCGTACTATACATCTAGGTACATATACAGCCATTGAAAATGTGCAAGTGACATACCGGGTGAAGTGGTTCACGAAGAATTCTTCTGCAACTGACCGCAATGTTCTAATAAGGGGTCCTATACAGAGTTGTAAGACTGAAAATATACCATTGTTTACTAATTTTTTATGAAAAAAGATTGCATTAGATAAATATAAGTAATCATTATTCAAATAGTGACTATTTTTATGTTTTACTTTTATGTGTGGCACTTAGATTATGTAAAGATATTAATATATGGGAAATTAGTAATATTTTAAATTTCAATTTTTCGATGCAATGACGACAAATTGGTTAAAACAATATAAATAACAATGATAATAATAGTAATGAATTATAATAATTATGAAAAAATGATATTAATAGTTGATAGCTTTCTGATATGGTTTACGAGAAGAATATCTTCTTGGGATGATCATTCCCATGTAGACCAACTTCCATTTAT